AAACATTTTTTCCCTTTTCTTTCTTTCTTTCTTTCTTTCTTTTTTTCTTTCTTTCTTTTACCATGAGGTCCTTACAGTGGAATTGAATGAGGCCAATCCATAAATGTTAAAATACTCACTCTTTTAAAAGCCACACAAAGAAAACTATATGAATGTTAGCATTAAAAATGCTTACAAAATTTTTTTTGTGTAAAGTTATATTAAATTGTTTTAAGTATTATATTTTATTCTTGTTTTACAGAATATCATACAACTCTAAAATGACTGTAAAATTTGATTTTAACAGCTTTACAGCTCAAATAATACACAAGATTTAACAGAGGAATAAATGGAAATGCGTTTATAAAATTATAAGCTTCACATTTCTGTTTTTAAATCCTCAAAAATTGGCCCTGTTTACTTCCGTTGTGCACTATACAATAAAAAAAAAAAGAAATGAATGCTGACATTAGTCAATAATTAGTTATAATAATTAGTAAATAAGTAATTAGTAAATAATTACATTTATTAATAATGTCAGTAAAGATTTTTACATTTGAACTCCCTATTCATCAAATAATCTTGAAACAAAATTGATCCTGGTTTCCAAAAAATATTAAGTAGTACAACTGTTTTCAGCCTTGATAATGATAAGAAGTGTTTCATAAACACCAAATCAGCAAATTAAAAGGATTTTTGAAGGATCATGTTACACCAAATTTGCATCACAGGAATACATTGTAAAATAGAACATAGTTATTTTAACGTTAATAATATATAAAAAGACACTAAACACAATAGTTATTTTAAATTGTAAGAACACACACACACACACACACACACACACACACACACACACACTCTCTCACACACACACACACACACACACACACACACACACATATACATACATACTTACATATATAGTTATATATAGTTATTTTAAATAGTAAGAATACAATTTAAAAGTCCATCATTTCATTAAAAAAAGTAAAACAAAATTATGGTGAGTATATGATGTCAAAATTTCTATTTGTGATTGAACTATTGCCTTAAACCATAATTGTATAATCAACACATTGATATATATCACTATCTGAGCAGCTCCAGTGAAGTAGAGCTGAATGACAAGAAGCCTTTCCAACAATGGTGTCTTGAATATTTATTGGTATTTCTAGAGCTCTGCTGTCTATGCTTTGACTGCTCTGCCCCTCACTGCCAAAAGACTGTCAGTCCAGTGTAGTGATGAGCTCAGGCCCCTGTTTATGCAGGCATAAAGGGACTTTTCTAAGCCTGAGTGGACACACGTCTTTTTTGAAAAGCTGGCTTGTCCAGACCTCTCTTGCAAGAAATTGTCATGTGGGATCTGCTTGTTGATGTGTATGGGAGTGTGATGGAAGATCTATGAATGGAAGCCTTGGCTTGGGATAGCTCTCCTTTTCTGGTTCCAGGTCACATTTTTATTTGCCTGAGGAAAAATCCTGTAAGGGCTGATTTATGATCAGTGAGAGACGAAATCGACTGGTAAATTTTTGGCAATTCTGACATTATTGTGCTTGGCTGAATGGCAGAAGTAGTAGTTCCCCTTGAGTCAGTTTCTGTTTTGCAATATTGCTTAGTGATTTTTTATGAAAGATAAGTCAATTTCAACAATTTTGAGTGCATTTCATTTGCTATCATTTGGAATGACAATAAAAGTGTTTAATTTAATTTAATTAGTAATTTTTGTCTGAACTTTTTGATGAACATTTATTGTGAAAAAGAACAATGACGTTAGATGAATTATCTGCTATTTAGCTTTTTCACAATTAGGTCTTTCAACCTAAGTAGTGTTTGTGGTTTAACAACACAAATATACTTATTTATGGTTAATTGATTAACAAAACTGATTTACATCTGCTTACAGCTAGTGTATTTGCTCATCGTAAAAGATGACAATTCATTTTACTCAATTTCTTTGATTATGTTTGTTAAGGTTACACATCTCTCCCAATCCTCTTACAGCTCATGTGTGATTCCAACCTGTTTTTGGCTTTGCTTAACATGCTCTTTAAATGTTTACTTTCTTTTAATAGACAAGATGTAACAAAATAGAGGCAATTAGTTCTTTTCTGATGAATAGTCTCAATGCGCGTTCTGAGAGGTTAACAAGTTGTCTGATGTACAACAGAGCAGATGTTTCCTGACAGCAGTGTCAGAATAATCCCTGTACAAACAACAATTAGACAGAGAACGGATGTATATTAAGCATCATCAGAACTGTACTATTTTCACTTTGATAAGTGAGATTTATTTGCATATTCAGCAGCAGAAATAAACAGCTGCTTCGAGGTCCATTCCTCCCCGATTGATGTTTATTCCCTCCAGGTGAATTCTGAGTAGATGGCCCATGCAACTTTCCCAATAAAACAGCACCAGCTGCCCCGAGGAAGCCCCTGTAAATAAAGAGCAAACACCTGGAAGAGTCAGCCAAATATAATGAAGAGAAATGGTGGTGTCTCCAGATGGTTGGTGCAAATTAAATGGGTAGCCTTGAGTTATATAAACTACCCATTTTAATGCTGAAGTAAACATTTAAAAAAAGATTTGGATAAATAGGCTATGATTATTTATTTAAAGAATATCTTCAAGAAAATATAAAAAAATAAAGCTGAAGTTGTCATTTGGAACCTGGAACACCCTCAGGCCATCTAAGATGAGCTTGTTTCGTCATCTGTAGCATTACATCATTTGCTCACCATTGAGTCCTCTGCAGTGAATGGGTGCTGTCAGAATGAGAGTCCAAACAGATGATAAAAACATCACAACAATCCACACGACACCAGCCCATCAATTAACGTCTTGTGAAGTAAAAAGCTGCATGTTTCTAAGAAACAAATCAGTTATTTTAGCATTTTAACTTTAAACTGCCACTTCTGGTGAAAATATTAATCCATAATGAAGCATGAAGCAACATTGTACATCTTGGATGCAACTCATTGTACATCTTGGATGGCTTTTGATGGCAAATTTAAATGTTCGTATGAGCTATTCTTTGTTGTTAAGCTTACAGTTCATAACAGTTCATATACAGTACACAGTTCATAATAAACATCCACTTTACACGAATGAAATACATTATTATGATAGACATTTACATTATATTTAAATCTTTTTAAATGGTAAAATATCTTCTCTGTCAGAAAGGAAGCAAGCAAGCTTGGTGTTTACCCCTTGCAGAGAGCAGACTGAAATGAAAAAGAACAGAATCCTGAGTCTCTGAGCTGCCTGAGGAAAGTTAAACAACTGAGACTAAACCATGACTAGGCGGCTGAGTGATGTCAGATAAAACGAACCCTTTTCTTTGCCTTTGTGAGGTGAGAGGCAGATACATTCTTCAGGAACAGGGATTGAGCAGTGACATGGTTTTATCTTCTTGTTCTGAGATTTATTACATTTACTGGTTTCATTCAACAGAGCATTATGAAAGTTAACTTTAGGTGATTATATGGTGTCTCAAATGAGCTTAATGAGAATGATTAAGCATACCATATTCTCCTGAGTGTACTAAATTAAGTTTTTCGTTTGTTTGCATCCTCTGTATCAGAATTCTTTGCTACAGCTGCTATTAGTAATTGTCAGTTAGTAGATTGTTTCAATCCAAAGGGACTTTAGATGCACTTTAGTTGGGATTGATGAGAGCCATTAGGCTAAGTGCACTAAGAAAAGCAACTAGAGTTAGTTTTGCTGGTTAATGGTAAGATAAGTAGAAATGGATTGGGCTTGTACAGCACTAATTAATTAGTTCCTTAAGGTCACTTCCCAGGTCACTGATTTCATGTTGATCTGGTCCTGAGTATCAGCACTTGTCAAATGTCTTTTTACTTCCTAATCAAGCAGCTTGTCCTGAGATGAGATATTGACCTTAGAAATCTTTCTTGAAAGCGATTAACTTGATTAACCGAAGTAGAGACTCTCCTGAACATCCACTAAAGTGAATTCAGCTCAACCGAAGCCAAGTCAAAGTGTTTGGAAAAGAATACTTGAGTACAAGTGTGTGCGTTACAAAAAAAGTGAATGAAATGTGATAAAAGTATCTAATAAACATTTCAAAGACTTAGTTTGATAACCTCATGTCATTACATTCACTTTCACTGGATGGAAAAGAGCAGCTTGCACATTCTGATCTTAATAACTCTTTCTGTGTTCCACAGTAGAAGCTAAGTCATATGGATTTTGAAAGATACAAGGCTGTGATTGATTAGACAATTTTCTGTTTTGGGTGAACTGTTCCATTAATAAGGTGATGTGACAGCATGTAACAGACTAAACATGGTCATTGAGGTCATGTGACAAAAATGTGACACACTACTGTTTGTAGTGACAGGAGAAACAAAGCTTTTCAAAACTTTGAATAAATTGAACCAATTGCTTCGCAAAATGATTAATTGTTTGGAAGTGCTCAAAACGCCCCATGCTGGTGATTCCTGCTAGACAGAACAGTGTAAATGCAACAAAAACTCAACTCAAACATGCATAAAAACACCTTTTACAAACCAATCGCCAATTAAATCATGTTAATTTGCCGATTTGATAAGCGATTTGAATCACTTGTTTGAAAAAACGAATGATTCGCAAAGGTTTTGAAGCAGTGTTTCACATAACAGTTTAAAATGTTTTGTTCAGTGAAAAGCATCCAGTTATCATCTCAGAAATCATCTCAGAAGATCCAGTTATCATCTTTTTTTCATTTTTTCTCAAATTTAAAACATTTGGATATAATCATGGCAATCAAATCAAATAACAAGTCATGAAAAGATGTTGCACCTGAAAAAATCGCATTGCATTACGGGATGCCCAGTATACCCTCTCGTTTACTGCAAATGTGGGGAATATAAAAGGTTTTTCTTTCTTGTATTCCATGCATTCAGAAATGTTATATCCTGCACATTGTGCACTTACAGCAGAAATATTAGTATTATAGTATGGTGGTGTGCTGTTCTGAACATAAAGTAGATATTTGTTTTCTGGTGTGTTTACAGGTGGACAGGACAGAGGTGATTCGGAGCTGTATAAACCCCACATTTTCTAAGGTCTTCACCCTGGACTTCTACTTCGAAGAGGTCCAGCGACTACGTTACGAGCTCTACGACATCAGCAGTAGTCATAATGGCATGAGAGAGGCGGACTGCTTGGGAGCCATGGAGTGCACACTGGGCCAAGTGAGCATAGAAATTCAAGCGGGCTACATGTGATTATTATGGTTTTTCTAGTTTTGCTTGGCAATGATAATTTTGCAACAGGATCTCTACATGATCGTTGATTGCACACAGTCAGGGAAGAGTGGGGCTGGCACTGCACCCAAATCAGATGAAGCCTCCTAATTAAATAATCACACCAAACAACCATTAAGAGCATTTCCGGACATTTTACGGCTGATTTAATTTTGAAACGTGAGATGTCTGTGTAGCTGGCTCAGTGTGGGGAGGACGGCCGGCCCAGATGGGCCATGCTATTCTCTTATCTGCAGTTTGAGCAAATGGAAAACCAGACACACGATCTTCCGCCAGATTTTTTTTTGCAGTTTCTCAGTAAAGAATTTGCTAGAAGCTTAAAGTGTATGACCGATGCCAATATTCATTTTGTTCAATATTTATGTGTTTCTCTTTTTGCATCAAAGCCACTTTCTAGGTCTGCTTTTCTCTCAGAGGAGCTGGGTTGTTTGTTTTAATTCAGTCTGTTTTGGTTGGAGGGGGAAGGGGAGAGTATAATTGTTGAAATAGGCTGCGTTTAATAAAGTGAGAAAGCGAGGTGTTGACACTCACTCATATGGAGTTTCTAGGGGAAATATAACCAAAAGCTCTCCCTCCTATTTATAAATATTTAACAGCTAATAATGAAGCACTTATCTGGAGTGGATAAGACTTCATGGTGTAATTATGAACTAAGCTTACATGCCAAATTCTCCCCGAGGTGTTATTATGTGCTGCATTCTGCACATATTCGTGTTTTTTTTGTGTGGTGTTCTGTCCATCAAAACAAGGTAGCCTCTGACCAACTTAAAATATCTTATTTCTCTCCAAATAGATCATCTCCCAGAGAAAATTCACCAAAGCCCTGCTTAAACAGGGCAACACAGTTGGGAAATCGTCTATCATGGTGAGCACTTTCCCAAATCCCAAATTTATCTGTTTGCTTTCTCTCACGCTCTACTTATGCAAACATCCAGCAGTGCACAACACCAGCAAATGGCCTTACGCAAACATTTCATGGTCTAACCTTTAAAAGCTTTGCACTTTATATGACAGAGGTGCTTAGAATAATCAATGCCAGTACTGAACCCAGGCAAACATGGAACAACTTCTCATAGTACACAAGAACCTTCCAAAACAGTCAGATGTGGATTGAATGTGAGCTATGAAACAAAAATTGCAGAAAATAGCCTGAGGAGCTTGTTAATGCACATTGACAGAATGCAGCAGCAATACTTGAACATGTAAAGCTCAGTGGGTGAGGAGAATGAGATCTATAAAACAAATGCCAGTCTTCATGGTTAGCTTCTGATTCTGTTTTCTCTTCTGCTGAAAACAATTCATCACTCTTTATCTCTCCAGATCACCGCTGAGGAGCTGACAGGAAATAACGATTATGTCGAACTCTCATTCAGTGCGAGGAAGTTGGATGATAAGGTAGGAAAGACCTCCTGTGCACTTTAGAATATAAAATGATCTTATGTAACAACAAACTTAAAGGGATGAAATGAAAATGTTGTCATCATTTATTCACCTTCAAACCTGTATGAGTTTCTTTCTTATGTTGATCATAAAAGAAGATATTTTGAAGAATGCTGGTAATCAAACAGTTGATGGTCCCCATTGACTTCCATAGTATTTCTTTC